TCAGTCAAGACATAACATCATCGTTGGCGGTTGGTTCAACGCGTTCACAAACCAACTGCCTTGGTTGCTGCCCGCATCACAGTCCAAGCTGCTCCCACAGGCCGAAGCGCCTACGCCTATCAGCATCCAAGGTGCCAAGCGGGCTGTGCTAATTGAAAAGTGAAACGTGAAGCACTTTGGCAAATAGCACATGGCTGCCAGGTGAAGCAAGGCGAGGGCTGCTTTTGGAACCGCCGCAAAGGCTGCAGAAGCTGCCGGAACCGTGCAGCACCAAGCCGGTTCCTCAGCGCCAGCTTTGTCCGCCGTATACGACCAGTGCAGGGTGTGGGAAAAACAGCCCTGCAAACCGCAAGACCCGCGCGCGGTGCATGCGTCAGCCGGGCCATGCGGCCCATGCCAAAAGGCTTCTTCTTGGCAGTGGTCGCAATTTGGGCGTATGGCGCTGTGACTGTTGGAGCCGCACAAGCCTAGGGCAGTAAACATCACGCGGCTTGCGTGCCCAGCGGCAGGGCTTGACGTGGGTGTATGGGTTGAAAGGTCGTGGCAGATTTGGTCGCCGGGACAGTCCACATGTGAGCATCTGGAAATAGGAACAAACACGAGAAAATACCCGAAATACCTCAGAAGTTCTGAGAGAAATCATTGGAAGCTCAAGTTTTTGCCAGGCCGCGTCTTCCTAGCGACCTGCTCCATGCGAAGCGCACACGGCGGCCGGAAGCGAAGCGACATCTGCATTTCGGCCTGGCGAGGCACCGAGGCCGTAGAGTAAAGACTGACGAACCTTTCACGAGTGCCTAGTCACGATTGCTTTGGCAGCTCATTTGGGCCAGTCAGCACCAAACCAACTGCGACCACTCGCCATTGCACCATGCGCTGTCTGACCGTCTTCCTCATCGCTGGGCTGCAATACGTTGCTTGCGGGCGTGGGTGAGAGCCAAATCCTTTGCTGAGGGTTGGTGACAAGGCCGAGGAAATGGGAAAGTCTTCAAGTGCAGCAGTGGTATGGTCCGGCATGGCGACACCAACCCTCATCTGCTGCGTCATCGGAACGCCATTTGGCTTGTGCGGCAGCCCAGCTGGAAGCGGCGACTGATGCACGAGCGGCGAGCGGAGCAAGCGTTCGTGGCTTGACAAGTCCGTCTTGGCCAAGAAAGCGCAGCCAGCTTGACTTGGTGTCTGTGGCAAGGGTTTCAACATCTTCACGCTTGTCCGCAGCGCTAGCCATGTGCCCGAACTCGGGCCAGTCTCACTTGCGGGCGCTGGACCTGCAGGAGTGCCTGAGGGGGCTGGACGCCCGTCCGGCCTGTCAGGTATGTCCGGCTCGGCGACGGGTCCGGCAGAGACCCAAGGCGACGCTTCCCAGACGCGTGCTGGACGCACGTGGCTGCACTTCCTGTGCTAAGCTGGCTTTGGGTGCATGCCGATTGCTTTGCCTTGCCTGACCCATCCGACGGCAAACGCGCGCAGCCTGCAGGCAGCTGGCGGCCATCACAGCTCCGCCGCAAGTGCCAGGCAGCGGGGGCCGAAGTCGCACCCGGACGACCCCGGATTCAGGAACGAGACTGCCGATTGCTGGATCTGCGAGGCCGGAGCTGACGCAACGGTACGCAGCGGCTGGGATGTCGGCCAATGCCGGCATCTCATTGCTTTGACAGTCTGGCAAATGTTATCACGCCACATAGGGGGCGGCGCAGGCGCGAATGTTCTGCGCACCATGCAGCCAAGCCCTGGCACAAGCACAGGCCTTCGGCTAAGCTGAGCAGGGAATGGCCAACGCTTCTCAGCCCTGCTGCTCAGCCCTTCTCCGGCTATGGCCTAGGCTGGTGGAGCCACGAACGCATGAATCTGTCGGGTTGCAGGCTGATGCTAGTAGCTCTCATGGCTGCGACAGCCTTGACAGTGCCACTACGCCACCCAGCAGCACTGTTGGCGGCCAAACATCTGAGATGGCTCTGCGCAGTATGCCGTGGCCTTGTCTAAGTGTGAGCACAACCCTCCGGCCAAGCAGGGCATGTCCACTACCCATGTTTGAGGGCGCTCCAACCATTCACATTTGTGTCGACATTTGACTGAGTTGTTCAAACACCACCTTAATCCTCATGCGCGATGTTAGTGGTTTGGCTTGGTAGGGGCTGCCAACTGCGGAGTACAGGTTAGGAACATTGGTATCCAGGAGCCGGCCACAGCAGGCGCAGCGGGCGCTGTTTGTGAGGTGCGGCCTTGCTGAGCTGACACTGAGGAGCTGAAGAGTGCGGCGCAAAAGCGTGTGGGGGGCACGTGGCATAGGTGCTGTGCCGCATCTTGGCCTGGCGGCGGGCATCGAGAAAGTTGCCGCTGGCTAAAAGCAAAGGCACAAGCAGGACTAGCGGCACGGCCAAACTACTTGCGCCTGCTGTGTCCGGTGCATCTCACGGGAGACAACTGTCATGAATGGTCTCCCCCGCGGCCAATTTTGTCAAAGAAGTGCTGCTGGCCAGAAGGGGGCGCACAAGCGTGACTGACGGCACTGCCATACTGAGGCTGTGTGAAAGGCCACACATGTCCCGCAGCTTCTCCCGCGGAGCCAATTGCAAAGGAGATGCAAAATGTCAAGCAACAATCGAGTGCTTGAATGGCGCAACCTGTAACAAGAGCCGCCACCGGCTGTAAAGCAACGGGACTGCGCTGCTACCTGCCCGGTTTCTGCTTCGGGTGACCGGGGGAGGGCAAAAGTGTCAAAGCCAAGCAAAATGATCATGGCCGCCTACACTGAGCCAACGCATCGGAACTTGGGGTGTCATGCAGCATGTACGCATGCAAGCAGGGGCAAAGCATGATGGCAAGGCAAAGCCGCCGCGGGAGCAACAACCCGGCCTATCATCCCATTGGCCTCGAACCGCATAGAGCCTTGTCGACGGTGCGCCTCCACGGAACAGCCTTGTTTATCTCACGGTTGAGTGAACCATCGACTAAACTGACCAACTTGAACTTTTAGGCGTTGTAGACCTCGCGCGTTTCTCATGCCAGCGAGCTCATTTGTGCCTTGGTCGCACTGGGCTCACAGTCATGCGCCTCGGACACTTGGATACTCGCTGCGCAGCTCTAAGGTGAAAACCCAGAGGGTCCTTGAAGCAAGACTGGCTGGAGATATCCATCATATCGAAAGCTTTGCCCATAGAATGCTTTCCCGCACCGGAAGGCAATGCTATTGGGTGGGCAGCACTTGAGGGTAGATAAATGGATTCAACGGGAAGCGGAAGGGAACCCGTCCATCTGCCGGCTCCCCCATTTGGAGACAGACCATTGCATGACTGGTGCAATATATCCAGGAGATGCTCCAGGCACCTGGTGTGCGTCTTACTCCTGGCTTTCGCGGATTGCGTTCACATGGCCTGGCGGGTTCGGACCCCTGAAAGGGCTCTCACAACGTGGTTTACCAGTTTTGTTTGCCAAATGCCAGCTGGACAGGCCTGACAGAAAATGCTCGAAGCTTTGGCATTGACATGGCCCGGCATGGCCCGAATCCATGCATGTCTTAACTTCTTGACCCACTTGACTTTCTTCACCTTGGCTGCCCGACAAACGCTTAAGTTCGGAATATGGTAGGCTCCCATGCCGCAATTTGTGAGCAGTAGTGTTGCCAACAAAAACTGCGCTTGGCATCAAAAACAGCAAAATCTTCGTGCAACGCGTTTCCCAACTCAGCTGCTCGTCTGAACTTCTCAGGTTCCGCCCGTCTCGTCATGGAGCAGAATTGCCTGCCTCTATGATGCCCATGAGTAAGGCCGGAGAAGCCATCTGATTTAAACTAGCCGTGTTGCACCTTGGGCGTGTCTCACCTCTAAAGCTGGCACAGGGCGCAAAAAAGCAAAGGAGCCGTTTGCAAGCCTTCGCAGGCGCAAGCACTTCGTTGCCGCCATCATTGCCGGATTGCAAAAAAACATTGGAGCAGCAAGGAGCTGGATTTGCCATCCACTTGGGCTGTGTCGATGTGCTGCCAAAGCTAGTCTGCACTCGTGCTGCCTTTGTGCTCGTCTTGTCGCGCTAAGCGGAAACAGTGCAGCTTGGGAACAGGGGCACGAAGCCGGGCTCCGGAAGCAGCGTGCACGAGCGCTACGGGTGCCCCCCATTTCTCGTGGCTTGGCTCAACGTTTGGCAAATGCGTGGGCAAATGCATCGGCATGCTCCATGTTGCTTGCATAAGCACTGCACAGCGCCAGCACCTGTCACAACTGCACAGCATGACATCATGAAGTTCCTTCGCATTGTGTTAGAAAAGCTCTTGGCCGAAAAAAGCAACAATCACTCCCGCCGCAGCAGAGTCTTCCAGGGCCACAACTTCGTGCCTCACGTGGGGTTAGGTGGCTCAGGGCTGCCGAGTGAATGCCTGCCGAATATGCGCGCCCTTCTCAAGGCGTGCCGTTCATGGTCGGATCTGGCAAAGTGAAGCGCTTCATTCAACATGGCAAAGTATGGCAAAGCTACATTAATTGAGGAACTGGCTGAATTCCATGGCAATCCCTCCTGTCTCAAGCCTAGCATAGATTCAGTGTGACAGTGCAAGGTGGCTTCTTGCCACTCAGAGTGGAAGTTCCCATCAAGCTGGGCTGACGCCAACGTCCTGCCACTCCCTTGGCCTGGACAGCCCTGAGGCTCCAGGACTGAGAAGACTGGTGAAGAGTCCAGCATCACTATGCTCGTGTGCTACGCACGCTCGTGGCACTCGTTCCGATCCGGTGAGCGGAACACCGTCAGAGCTGCTAGGTGGCTTCGGTGATAAACTTCTGCGTGTGCAACGCATCTGTTGCAGCTCAATCCACTGGGCGATGCACTTGGCCTGCGCTTTCTGCTCGAAACCAGTCTATGCGCTGCTTGCGGCCACACCCTTCAGGAGCAAACGTGCGGAAAGATGTGTCACGCGGCCACATGGGACGACAGCGTGGCATAATGTCATGACGTTCCTTCGCATTGAACTAGCAAACCTCCTGGGCACAAGCAGCGGCCGCTCCTGCCGTGGCCGAGTCTTCCAAGACTACAACTTCGTGCCTCAGGTGTAGTCGGGCCCAAGTGGCCGCAGGCCGCTGTGTGAAAGCCTGCAGAATTTGTGCACCCTTCTCAAGGCGTAATTGTCATTGATACATCTGCCAAAGTGGAACATGGCAGCATGATTTTATCGACTGTATACTTTTATTCGGTTGTTGCCGCATCACACCCGAGACAATCTCTCCCTTGTCAAGTCTGGATGGGATTTGACATGAAAGTGCAAGGTGACTTTCGAAACTCATAGCTGGAGTTACTATTCGGCTGGGCTTCTCCCGATGCCCTGCCAAGGCTAATCTACACTTGCACTTTCTCGGTCTTGGATTGCCCGGCCAAGTAGCAACAGCGTTGATAGCCAGGGTGTGGCAGCAGGGAGATGGCTTGTGTCTTGGGCTTGCGTTCCGGAACTAAGGTGCCGACTAACTACGCAGCACAACCACGACCATCCAAGCAGCCTTGGGGCTTCAATAGCAAGAAGCCCCACAAGCACCTTGCACTAGCTCTATGGGCGTAAGTTAAGCATTGCCTGATGGTGAACGCTCAACATCTTGCACACACGGCTCAGGTGCTGCCGGTTGCACCTTATGCTGACACCGTGGCATAACGTCACGGAATTCCTGAACATTCTATGGGCGAAGCTCCTGGCCGCAAAATGCAGCAGTCACTCCCGCGGAGTCTTCCACGGAAACGACTTCGTGCCTGCCTGGGGATAAGTCGGGCTCAGGCCGCTTTTCAGGGGTGCCGTGTGCTAGCCTGTCGAATACATGTGCCCTTCTCAAGCCGTGCGCTTCATTGGTTCTACATGTCCTCTTGCCCCCATCTGTATCCTGCCGACAAGCCATGTGTTTTCCCTTCGCCTTAAGTTTAATTCAGCACTCGTCGTGTCAGGCCTGGCTTGGAGGTTGATGTTATAGTGTGAGGTGACTTCTTGCAACTCATAGCTGGTTTCTGCCGACGTGCTGCCAAGGCTAGTGTGCACTTGTGCTGCCTTGTCTTGCATACCCCACCCAAGCAACAACAGCTTTGCTAGCCACTATGCAGCACCAATGCCATTCGCTCCCTTCCAGCAAAATGGCAGTGGGACGCTGCAGGCGTCCTTTGACCAAACATTTTGCAACAGGTTCACTGCACCATTCACACTCCGCCTTGGTTTTGACAGAGCTTGTGGCGGCTTGTGTAAGTAGCACATACTCCGGCCATTTTACCTATACGAATGAAAGGAAAGTTCGGGCATTCTGCATTCGGCACTCATCTCATGTGTTGCGTCTCACGGGACTCAGGCCTATGCGTCCCTCTTGCAGGTTGTCGCTGGGCACCCAGTGAGCCTGAAGCGAACCACACGCCCGTCTCGCCTGACGCGGGGCTGGTCAGCCACGACATCTGGCAGTCTGGCACCGTTTGCACCGCAGTGATGCCGGGATTCCTGGGTGCAGGTCAGCCAAGACTACGATTGCGGCCTTCTTGGGTGGCTTCAATCATTGGGTGCAATCATCGCCCGTGAGCATGCAAATAAGAGGCTCGTGTCCAGACCGATTCCGTCACAATCAAGAAGCCCTCTGTAGTCAAGACCTTGTGCAGCTAGTTCTAGCTTCACATTGAGCTTGCTATCCCTGTCTGGTGATGCACGTTTTGGAAGCGCTATCGTAGAGCACTTGTGGCAGCCAGGGCCGGACGTGCGCAATGCAGGGCAATGCACTTTGTCTGCGCTCTGCAGACAAAATTGGTGCCTGTCCACAGCTTATTCTTGGACATCTTAGCAGGTACCGAGTACAGGAGTCCCCATGAAATGAATAGCCCCCCCACTCAAACGTGGAGGCTGGTTGACTTGGAATTTACCCATCGGACTGCTCGAGGCTGGTGACCTGGTGAGGTGTGCCTTGTTCTGATGAGGGCGAAGCAACGAGGCCGCCTGCAGCTTAGTCAAGGTGCAGCAAAGGCTCGACCTCGTCCACATGGATGCGCTGTCATAGGATGCAGCGTGTTGGGCTGACCCTTTGCTTGCATCCGAAGCTTGCGGCCTTCAATATTCATCAGGAGAAGCCAATAATTTGTGGCTTCCCGACAAGGCGTGCCCCATCAAGCAAATGTCACCGTATGATTGTCTGGCTAAGCACCAGGATCAAGTGGCTGCTCTGGGCTCTGCATACTTCGGAGGCGATAGGTTTAATCCGTGCCAAACGCCAACTCACCATCTCGCTGTGAAACGCAAGTCACAGTCGAAGGGCAGCCGGAGATGAAAAACAAACATGCAGTGCCACTCCGACAGTGCGCCATCCGCAAGTCAGGGAACCGAGCTTCAGGTCGCTCAGGTCTCGACTTTATACTCAGCATGGGCCAGCGTAGGATGTCCGGAGGCAGCTTCTGCCCATCCGGTGCAACCATCAAGGCACATGTATGATACGAGTAGAGAGGTACGTGGTGGTTTATGCGAACAATGTCCGTGGAGTCGTTGTATAATTCAATTCCTGCTCTTCGCCTCAGCTAGCGCCAGCCTGAATCAATCACACCTGAACGAAAGTGGGCATGTTGGATTCTTGAGAGATGCAGGTTGCATTTTCTTGCCGGAAGATCAAGGGAAACATGCGCCAAGTGACAAACACGGCTGGCCTCTTGTCGGCAGCACGTGGTACCACTTAACTGCAAGCAAAAGTCACCGGCGCTTTCTCACGTCGAGGAAAGCGGAACCCCTTCGCACACTCATCAACCGGATTGCGGAGCCCGCTTGGGACAAGTTGCCAAGCATGCAGTGCCCCGCCGGCAGTGCGCCATTCGCACGCCAGGCAACCGAGCTTCGGGTCGCTCAGTTCTCATGACCTTGGCCAGCGTATGATGCCTGGACGCAGTATCTGCACGTCAGGTGCAACCATCGAAGCACACGCACGTATGATACATGTTGGAGCAACTTGAGTGTGCATATCGAAAGATTGCACAGATCTGTGACAGCAAAATGCTCCTGCTTCCCTTTGCAGCTCCTGTCAAGTCAACAAGTGTGGGCCACCGCAGGCACGCAGCGCGTGGTTCCACTTAAATGCAGGCAATAGTCACCGGCTCTTTCCCACAACGAGGAAAGCGGAAACCCTTGGCACACTCATAGACTGGGCTGCGGAGCCCGCTTGGGACTTCTTTAAAGTATGAGTCTTGCCTTGATGCCTGCGTTTCTCATCTGTGTCATCGTTCCTTCCACTGGGCGCGCGCTCTTGGGCAAGTATGCGACGTGCATGGTGAAGAGCCAAACAGACGGCGATGAGGACAATGACCTCATGATCAAGTAATTACTGTGCCGGGATCATTGCCATGAATGAAGCAATAGAGGATGCCTCTAAGGCCTTAAAGGAGGCCAACACGTTCTCGGACACGATTGTAGTTTCAAGCGGTGACAATGCTGGTCGAGTCCACTAGCACTACAAGGCGCAGCTAAAGTTGCAAAGCAAGTGCGGCCACGTCCCAAGTTTGCTGGACGTGAATCTCCTGTCTTCTGTTTGCCCCTCACTGCCTTGCAGAGGTGGACCAGTGCGAAGGGACGTTTAGGCTTGATGAATTTGGGACTGTGCCAAATGACATCTCGCTTGTCTCGCCTGCACCCCCAAATCCATGGGGTGCAAGTCTTAAGTGCTCTTAACCACATGCTTTCCTGGCCGGCTCCTGAGGGAAACTCTACTCCGCCGCCTGAGTCACTTGGTGAAGCAACATGCCGCATGCCTCAAAGACAGTTGCAGTGCATTGCTATGGCACCCACTTGGGCAGAAAGCGGAGCGCTCAATGACTTGACTCCCCTCATAGGAAGTCACGAGGGGGTGATGCCCCTGCGTCAATCGGCAGAGTGTCCTGCGTTCGCGCTTCTCCCCGAACCAAGGAATCAAGGAATCAAGGAACCAAGGAACCAAGGAACCAAGGAACCAAGGAACCAAGGAACCAAGGAATCAAGGAACCAAGGAACCAAGGAACCAGACAGCCGGCCCGCCTGGGCAGCAGCTCGTCACTCAACAGAAGGCCAAGGAATCACCTTAGTCTCAAGTTGCGCGTTGGACAGCGCTGTAAAAAACATGTTTGTTTCCATCCGGAAGCTGAGACAATGCAAAAGACCAAAGCCCCAAGGCGTGGAAGCTGCCCTGGGCTCTCTGCCGTTCTCAACCTCGTCGCTGACCTCAAATCGTTTGCACACGGCTATGGCATGCGCTCCGCATCCAAAACAAATCGCCATCCTTTGGCCACTTGAGAACCCTGCGGCTAAGGCGACAAAGCATGCGACAGGCTCAGCCTCACGACCAGCAGCTGCCTAGGCTCGTTCTCCCACAGCAAACCGGGCAGAATCTGACTGCTTCAAGTCTTTTCCAGGAGGAGAAACCATTTGAAGCCAAGTAAGTGATTGATGCCTTGAGCTATGCCAGCTTGCCGGCTCAGCAGCTCAGGCGCGTTCTCGACTTGCACCAGGTTGCGAGGTGACACCGCGTCGTACAAACATCATCCCACCCGGAACAATTTGTCATAGCGAAGCCAGCTTTGCCAAACAAACTTGCTGACTTTCTGCTGCTCAGTTGCTGCAGGCAGCTCCACTGCCCTGCGATTGGGGAGAAATACTGATCAGGATCAGAGCCTGGCGTCAAGCGAGGATGTTTAACCCCAGGGCCGGACTTACCTCGGCCAAATCTTGCAAGGTCCATGCTCCTTGAAGGGGATACCAAAAGCGCCCCGTTCTCCTAGCTTCGAGCCCGTTGTGCCTGCCATCAGCTGCATCGCTCTCGTCACAAAGGAAACTGACGCGATGCCATTTGTCAACTTTCATTGCTTTGGCACGAACTATGCGTTGTGCTATGTGCGCTTCAACTTTCTGATGTTCAATCCAGGAGACTAGGGCTTCAAATGTCTGCCCTTGATCCAGTCTACATGGCAATTCAGCCAGCAGTCCGAAGCCTGAAAAGAGCACGGCGAGTATCACTGTGAAGTGGCTCTTTCTGGGACTGCAGGAGTCTGCATGCCGAGGAACCGCAAACGGTGGGCAGCCCTTCTTGCGGATGATTGGCGCCAACCATCGCCAACCTGACCAGAGCCATGGAAGCCTGCGCGCTTTTGACACGAGCATTGCCTTGCGCAATCGCTTGCAGCGGGTCGCACATCAAACGGGCCAGCCTTGGGCCCAGAAAGTCGGACCCAGCTGAGATGGACCTATTACTAGCTGAACATATGGCTTCACCAAGTCATCAACCCCAAAATTGGGGATAATATCAGGTGAGTCCGACTTTCTGGGTCCGAGTTTGGTCCCATTCACTAAGGGAAATGTGGGAAGGAACCGTACGAACCCAAGAGCTGTGGCATTTGTGTTCTTGAGGGCGCCCTTTCGTCGTGGCTTTGAACGGAAGGAACATCACAATTCGCTGGGCCCCCTAAAAACACATGCAACCATGGACATTGGACACGTTTGCAACATGGGGCTTTCGCGGACCCTCGGACTTGCGCAGCTGAAGAGTTTTCAACTGACCAGCTGCCATTCCCGCGTGGCAAACTTGGATTAACAGCGCTAGCGAAGCGGCCCCAGAGCGGAGATCGGTAAGTAGAGTACAGAGGATAGTTGGAAAGAACACGACAAAAAAAATACCACAAACTACAAGTACCTTTAGATGCGTCACTGGTGGCGCCAACCAAGACTCTTGGAAGCATCTCCGTACCGCCAATGCTTTGCTCGAGCGAAGCCTGCCTTCTGCCGATCAACAAGACGAGGCCTTGCCGGCCTTGCCATTGGTCAGCGTGCCCCGCCTGGCAATGACATGGGCAAACAAATGCATTTGCCGCTCAAAGCAGCCCCAACAAGGGTAAGCATATCTCGTCACATTCATTTGGGCTGGCCTGGACTCACAGCGCGAGCCGGTTCGCTTCGATGTCGCGGATGCAGCTGAGCAGTCCTCATGTCACAGGGGTTTAAGTTGCATACCCCTGTGATAAGGGAGTGAACCACCTCGGTCTTGACTGGCTCAGCGGCTGAGTGAATTGGCCAAGCCAGCTTGTAAACCAGCAACCTTGTTGATTTAATTTGATTTATGTTGATTTGCTTGAAGGGCTTAGGAAAAGGCACAGTGAACCACAGCTCTTGCAATTCCAAGTGGCACTTGCCCGCGAACTCTTGCAAGACTTCTGTGGGGTCCTGAGTTAGGCCAAATGGCCCGGATCCCAGATCCTGCGCTGGGTGCCCCACGCTGCTTCCTTAGTCTCCTTTGCAGGTGGCGTCCGCTTCTCCTCCTGCTTTGCCTTGGCTGCATCCTTGGTGGACAAAGGGCATGCATCTATCGGGCCAACATGCAACAAACGTTTGTATCCAAAGCTCCTATATGAATCGCCTGGTTTCACATTGGTTGCCTGTGGAAGCCGCCAAGATCCACCAAAGAACGAATGACAATCCTTCGTAGGAAACAACTCCTACGTGACCAACAGCCAGCACGTTTCAACACCTGACTTGCCTGCTGTACAAAAAGATCGGGCTCCGACACGGGTTCGCAAGCGCACCTGTCCAGCGCAATCTTGGCAGCAAAGTCTAAGGGCACTTGTGCTCAATGTCTGCACAACACCCCCCCTCCCCCCGAAACCGCATTCAAGCGTGCGCGCCATTCGAGAACCCAAGCAAATCATCTGCCTCGTCTGCGTGCTTGCTGGCTGCTTTGAAAGGCCTGGCCCCAGCTTGCTGCTCGCGCCAAGCTTAAAGTCCATTCCAAGGCCAAGGGCAAGGCATTCCGCACACATCAGGCTCTGGGCGCACACCGTGCACATAGCCAGCATAGCCAGGCCTCACGCCGAGGCTCTGTGGCCCAGATGACTGAGACAAGCAGTTCAATGCGCGAGTCATGCGTATCGCTGTGGCATTGCATCTAGGCCCTGCGACACTGCCTTCCCTTGGGCTGCGCCGTTGCCTTTTCTCGCCTTCAGGCAGGCAAAAGCCACCCCGACTGAGCGGCATTTGTGTGCCTGGGAGTTTTGCTGAACCTCAAGGTCTCTTTTCAATCACGACTATCACGACCCTTGTGATTTTGCAACAAGGGTCAGCACTACGTTCCCAGGGCTCAGTTGCGGTATGCCAGACTGCGAGCACAGCACCCTTTTGACCACTGCAGGGCGTGCGTATAGGAGTGACAGTCGCAGTGACAGCGGCAGCCTGCGATTCGCACAGAATTCCGCCACACGTTTCACGCTGCTACAACGATTGCCACGTCAAGCGCTCCTCGCTTGACGCAAGGGCAACAAATGTAGACGCCGATGCTCTCATCTGACCGACCCATGTAGCGAAAAATCCGAGCGGAACTCACGGTGCCGTCAGCGAAAGGCACCCGAGCGCGCCTCCAATCTCAAACTCGCATGCTCTGCTGCAGCGGCTGGCCTGCTGCCCCGTAATTCACCTTGGGAAGTGCAAACACCCCTCAATGGTAGCAACCTTCTGCTGAAACAGCGCATGTCGTGACGGGCTGCTAACTGCAAGGTGTTGGCTGCTTGCGGCCTGCACTGTGGCTTTTTCCCAACTGACATGGACGTTTTGGTGAGGAACCCCCCATTCAGTTGTATTTTGGTGAGTGGGCCCCATGTCATTCCCTTTGCCGGTAGATGACAGTATATTGACTGCTGTTGACACTTACCCTACAGGACATGGAACATTCAGTGAGGCTGGCTTTTGTCCCCGATGTCCCTCCCAAATGGACTATGGACTGGGAGGTTTTGCTGAATGGCAACACAGGGCGGGCCGCCGGCTGCGTCAGAATGGCACCTGGGAGCCAGTTAGAAGAGCTGGACCAACTTGAGGCACAGACCCACTGGTGCTATGATAGCATGTGACAGAATTCTCAGTGCTTCCTCACAAAACATACCTCTGTGGCCCTGACTGGGGGATTGCTGCTTCTTGATGACCTGGAGCTCGTCTGCATGCTGCGCCATCCTGCGGAAGTATTCAGCCCCGAAAAAGAAACAAAAAACCTGGAAAATTGGAAAACACAACAACACTGAGATGCGACTTGCGACCAAGAAGCTGAAAAGCAGCAAAACCTCGGCTAGGTCGCCATTTGGTGACATTTGGGCCTGGCCTTTGCCTGGGGCTGTGAAAGGTCAAGCTTGCGTCCATGAACCTGTTGCCTAGTGAGCACACTGACCAATGCTATCCAAAAGGCGGCGCCACAAGTGTAACTGAAGCTTGTCTGCAAAACCGCATCACAAGAAACAACTGGCATGAAGATTCATTTTCTCTTTTGCGTATGCACAGCCCATACGCTGCCATGCGGCAACAGCAGATACAGTCATCCCACTCATCGCTCTCCTCAGCGTCGAAAGAGCCGGCTGCTTTCTCGCTTGTGCCATCCAGTTCCACAACTAGGAGCACTGTTGGCCCAGGAAACCAATGTTGCAGTCTGGAAGTTCCTTGCGTGTGCATTTGCATCATGTGCTGAACGCGGTTTGCAATCAGCTGCCGAGGTATTCGCTCTCTCGAACTCGTCCTGGCCGTGGCATGTAAAAATCATGAAGCCAATGTAAAAGGAACTGGCACAATTACTCAAGTTGTTCCCCCAAGGGGACATGGTAAACTTGGGTTGTCCCATGCCCCCCTAAACCAACATATTACTATACTATACTGTAAGTTCCTCTCGACTTTTGAGCACCGTCCTGGATAAGGAAGCGATTGCCCACGATCGCGAAAGGAGTGCAGCAAAAGGCCTGCAAGCCCAATGCTTAAGCATTCAATTTTCCACATGCCCTGCCTCTAGAAACAACCCCAAGTTTGGCGCATCAAAGGGCCTCGACTCAGCGCTTCGCTTGGCAACAACCGTGCCCAAAACACAAAACAGTTGACCCACAAGAAACATGATGCCGCCAAACGGCACGGAGCGTGAAAGGAACAACTATGCAATACTTTCGGCTCAGTGACTCCTCCAGCATTGGGCAGCAGCGACCACCTCAGAGAGAAGGCAACACTTTGACGCTGCGTCTACGGATTCATGAGAGTGAGCCTGGACCCCAACCCATGCCAAGCACAACCCGAGTGGGCTCCAAGCAACTTCATAGAAGGAATGCAAGAACCAAACGGCACCCTACCAGGATTCTCCAACCCCAAGATGTCACTGACGTGAGGCAACATGATACCAGCCAGGATTGCAGCAACATCCAAGCACTTTTAGGAAAAAAACGCAAGAGGCAGAGCAACATCTCCTCAGCCCTGGGTGGCCAACAGCGGCCACAAAGACAGCAGCCCCAGTCCTGAGCGTTTCACAACTAAATGCTTGAGCCACGGTCCCGAATACCCGGTTGCTCGTAGACACTTGCACACTTTGCTAGTCCCCGTGTTTGCTCGGGGAGGAAATTTCGTGAGTCTCCCAGGTCCGATGCGGACTGTCCGAACCCTCTGAACTGGAACGGGGTTTGGCCTGCCCTTGGTTTAAACATGTTGGCGCCAACATAAGCCCTGAACACAACATAAAAGGTGGGGGGCCAGCGTAAACCCTAAAACAAAGCAGGTGGGCCTGACATAAACCCTTAAAGGCGTTGGTGGGGCCCACATAACCCCCAAAAGGTGTCGGTGGGTGGCGGCCACATAAACCCCAAAAGTGCGGGTGGGGCCAACATAAACCCGAAATTCCTAAAAGGTGTCTGGGGCCCAACATTAACCCTGAAAAGTGCTTGCGGGCCCAACATAAACCCTAAAAAGTGTTGGTGGGGCCAGCATAAACTCTTGACAGTGGGGGTGGGCGAACCTCGGGGCCAGCCCCACACCTTTTAGGGTGCGGGAGCGGCAGGGGACATTGGGGTGCGGGCAAACCTCAGGGTGGCGAACGTGTTTCAACCGTCCATTTGGCTTCCCTTTAGGGGAAGGAACAGCAGGTTGAGACCAATTTTGTAGCCAAATGAGGAATCTTCAGCCCAGGGCTCTGCAAAGCGGCCTCCGCAGCAAGTGTAGGCCTGGCCGGACAGGTCCAGGATCTCCTGCGAGCCCTAGAGGCCCTCTGACCCGGGTTCCTTAAAGGTTATATCTAAAATCCACCTGCGTTGCAACCGAAACGAGCTGGCAAAAATGACATTCTAGCTGTCTCAAATGTATCCTAGGGGACCATGACCCCAAAATTTAGGTGTGACGCGGGTCCTGCCGTTGATGCCATGCGACGCAACAAGGGCAGGCACAGGACAGGCCTGGAATTCGAGAGGCCGTGAGGGCCCGCACGCGTTCAGGGCCCGCTTCCAAATGCGCGACTAGCCCAACATCTTTCAAGTCATGTAGCCGAAGCAGGACCCCAGGAGGGACACCGATTTTGAATTTAAGGGAAGCCACGAAGCTACTCGTTTCATAAGAATCCCCCTGAAAGCGCTCATGTGCATATCTCGCGCTGTACCCACCCTTTGGTCAACAAGCGGCAGCAAGTCACTGGCTGCGCACAGGCTGCTCGCACCGGCTTCACATGCCAGCCGTTGCCTCGGGTCGATTGGGGTGTCTCCCATTTCTGAGAGAATCAACTTGACATTGGTGGAACATCCCGGGTTTATCCACTAGGTTGAATCAATCCAGAATCCATGGATCAATCCCTGGCCTTGGCTGAGGTCAGGATGTTCGATACCTTGGCTACCCACACAGGTGGCAATGTGACCACAATAAACTGATAGGGGGGCAGCAAAAAACAAAACCAATACAGTGCAACACCAATGCGACTACCCCAAACCGAAACACTGAAAACACTGACATTTGCTCACATGTTCGCAAACCTGACTGCTTGGCAACAACGAAACCCATCAGTACTGGTGATGGCTGTGCCCTGCTAGCATCAGCCCTCTGACCTCCATGACCCTGACAAATCGTCGCTGCTCCTTCGTTCGTCGTTTGGTGAGCTGCTCCAACAAACGCACCATGTTGCGCCTTGCAGCTTTCTCGAGTCTGCCGGCAAGGCTCTGTCTCCATTCCAAATCCAGTTGAGAAGCATGCATGGGGAGCAGCTCATCTTCCTTGCATCGGCCTGGAAGCACTAGTCAGCTTGCAGTGCAAACGGTACGTGGCCCTGGCTGGAGTTGTGTCCAGATGGTAGATGTTGGTCAGCCACACCCGGGCCCCCCTGCCTTTTGAAGGGCCATGGCGCAGCGCAGAACGAAATAAATGAAATTAAATGAATACGGATTCGCAGGTCTGACCAACCCTCCCGTTCAATTTGGAACACTCAAGGCGCTTGCTTGTTCCTGTGGGGAGGTTTGGCCAGGTGCCAGCGTCCGCAAAAGACCTGATGGAACGTAAGGCCCAACCTTGAGCCACCAGCTGTCGCCCTTTTCCAAGCTGCTCTGGATGTGAGGGTGTCAGCATGCGCAGTCAAGTGCGTTGGCGGCTCGTTTGTTTGTGCCTGAGAGCCCGGCTAAACTGGGCTCAGCGTGCTTCCTCGCAATCCAAGAAAGTCTCCCACTATGGGGCAGAACCACGTCACAAATCCAGCGAAGGAAAGGATGCAGTCATTCCTCTGATCTGCAACACCACAAATAAGATCCGTGCCAGGCAGCGTCCAGCTTCCTGACGAGCCCGTACCACAAAAGTGAAATTTTCTATTTGTTTTCAAGGCGGCCCCCGCCGCATTCAAAAAATTCAAGCGCTGTCAAAGAGTAGAGAACAGTTTACTCAACAAACCACAAGTACCCTCCACAACGGGATGCACCTAAGGCTGCGGCTCAGATGCTGCAGCCAGAGCATTGGCAGCTTTGAAGCGGGCTCCTGCGGATGGCCCAACCACATCCTTCCATCAGCTGACATCACAACCCTGGCCACGGGCAAAGCCCAGCAAAGCGGTGCAAACGCCACGTGTTTGACGTCAGCCCAGTGCCCGGCCTATCACGTTCTCTGCGTGTTTGCCTCCGAAGCAAGGCCACACGGCCACTGTGCGCCACTGCGACGAGCATCCCCTCTTGTTGAAAGAAAAACGCACAGCCAGACCCCAGAAATCTGCTAAAGGAAATGCTGCACCCTCGAACAACATCTAAAAACACAACACTCCAGTTCAGATGTCCATCTAATGAAAAACACACAGCCCACAAACAATAAACACCCCACGCTCCCAAGCCGACGGACAACATCACGAACAAGACCCCAAGCCCACGGACCCCAGGATTGCATCAAAAGCAAACACATACAGCCCATGGCCATGGACATCAAAAAGAACATCACAAGCCGAAACTGTAACAACACCCCGAGCAACGAATCTCAGCCACCCGAGCACCCCCCCTCCCCCCGAAATGCAAATAGATGTCATGACTCACATGCCCTTGGCATCACCAGTCTCGCGCTTGGCCATCTCATCCCCGGGCCTGGCACGTAGCCTGAATACCCTGGGACTGCTGCAACAGCATTGCCTTGGCGGTGCTCAGCCATTGAGGGCTCCACGTCCCCTTGAAAATATCACCTCAAAGGAAGGTCACGTAGGCCTCACTTAGGCCATATAGGGAGCCCTTTCGATGATTTATAGCTTGGAAAGCAGCCATCGTGCCCTGCACAGTCACATGTTTGCTATCCAGCTTGCAAGACGAAAGATTCGTTTGTTGTCGCAGTGTTCCCCAGGACTCGTTTGACAGTTCTTCCGAATGCGTTCTAATATGATCCTCTTTAGTGCAGAGCTCCCTTTTTTACCCCCCCCCCCTGAAATCACCCCACCAAGAGGAAACTACACAGCACTCAGGCCTAACTGCATGTCTTGAAGCTTAAACTTGCCTGCGGCTTTCGGGTGGTTCTCTACTTTGCTCATGTAATCAAACCTCGGGTTCATAACCATTTCTCAACTTTCCAGTTCCAAGTAAAACTAGAAAAATTATGCTTTTGACCATGACACAAACAGGACACGCGCCCCCAACCATACAGCTCCCCCTCCCCCCTGCATGCCTAAGCCTGGCCGTGGCATCACCGGGCCCTGGCATGCACCCACAGTGGGACCCGCAGGAGAAAGCTGAGTGCTGGGCCCCGGCAATCGCGAGAGTTGGGAAAGCATAAGTATACATGCGTCTATGCATGTTGCCTAAGGTAGCAAACTATGCTTAGACTAGATGTACCAATGCAAATGCACTGTGTACACGTATATGTACGCTGTTCGAAATCCCGGGAGGGCCTACTCACGATGTAATCCGCGTAGTCCTTGCTCTGGTTGGTAGTCTCCTTAATCCGTAACCTGAACTGCCACTTGTGGGCCAAAACCCTCTGCAGAAGCACCGAACATTCGTGCAATCCCAAATTAGCAATCCACAAACCACATACTCTAATTCGTAAACCGAGTCGTTCGCAAACCACTACTCGTTGGGGATTGGATTTTGAACAAGCGTATATGTATATAATAGATATGTATTATTATTATTATTATTACTATTATTATTAGTTTTATTGTATATTATACATTAATGTAATTCTATGTATTCGTATACATGCATACATACACACGATTGTATTATGCAATATTATGCATATACATGCACACAAATAATTACAATACACATATGTGTAGCTTCTGAATGCATAAAGTTATTCACTCAAACAAACATGTGCGACATATATGAACATATTCATTTGCGAGTTCGGGTACTGAATCGGAATGCACCAATCCCCGAATTGCGGTGGTGAGTTGCCCGCCGCAACTTTGTCGCTCTCTACCGTTGCATCCAGTCATGGTCCAGCAGCGCCAGGCAACGAAACAAAGCAGCCAAAGGCCCTACCTCAAGCTGAAACACGAGCCTGAGGTTGCCAGGCCCGAACCTCAGCCTTCACTTTTCTGGCCAGACATCTTCGCGACTTCTACCACCACTTGACAATGGCGACACATGTGAAACTCAAGTGGGCTGAATGTAGCAAGGGACATCTTCAAGAAGAATTACTCTACATAGGACCCGCTCCAAAACACCACATGAATCCGAGGCTTGTTTGCACGCATGAACCCAGCCTTCCTGACGTCGCAAAGTGCTGAGGCACCAGTCCGAAGAAGAAAGCTAAGTTACAAGCCAGATCTCTTGACATGTAAACGTACTCTGAACCTCCACCCACCAGTCACCTAGATACAGACTAGCCTCATCAAGCCAACGAACTGGTTGCAAACCTGAGAGCTGAACCCCACAGTACTGTAGCCAAAGGTCAGTATATTATAGCCGGCCCAATGTTCTTAATCACAAGCGTGCGCAAGGTCAATGCCAGCATTTTGTAGAAATGCCAAAACCTTCCTTTGCCCAATGTTTGGGGGCCCCTGGCGTCTGAAAGACACGTCAAATCACTAGGGCCTCGCCTGAAAACATAGCCAGCCCAAATCAAAGGCGCATGCAAGTGCTCCCACAGCCTGTCATAGACTTGGAGCCAAAGCTTGGTGGCATGTCTAGAACAGGCAATACCTTGAACATTGGGGTTAGAGAAGCGCAGCGCCACCCGCAAAGTGCACGCCATCAGCGTCACATGAAGAACACTGAGACGATGGAAGTTTGCCCTGCTAGCCGGCACAATACCAAGGCACCGCTTGATGGCAGCAACTAGAGTCCCCCTTTTGACAAGACCCATTACCTGACGCACGAATCTTTGTTTGAACGACATTACGCCCGGACCTGACCACGAAACATTCAACTTGTTTTCTCAAGACCCTGCCTTGTGATGCGGCAAGGGCGAAGTTACAGGCCTGCCATCCATTACCTGAAGGGAAAACGGAGGCAAGCAGATTTGGAGCGTCTCGCGATCGCGCAAGTCTCCCCCCTAAGGCCTACAGACTGGCTTGACATATGTGACAGAACGTGGGTGATCTTCTGGTAAACCCCATTGTTTATGCGGTCTTTTCCTGAGATCCTGGCCCACTCACCTGGACGGACCTGCCCAACAAAAAAACACGCCTACCCGTCTCGCACTCAGCGAGTCATTGTTGGCTGGTTGTTGTCATTGTTTTTGTCATTGTTGTTGTCATTGTTGTCGTGTTCAGTGACATTTCGACTGCGCAGACGCGCGCAGGCGGCAGCGCGAAGCCCACCCACAAGGCGCGTTCGGTAGG